CAGAAGGTTTAATCCCCAAATAGATTAAACTAGACAGATGGGTAAAACTGTTTACAGTGTTCCCAGAATGGCTGTTTTTGTGACATGCCTCAAAGAGGACACAGATGCATATGACCCATTTTAATTTTCCTTCTCTAAGCCTCTCTGCTTCACCGAGCCAAGCACGGTTCAGAAGCAGGTCTGAATAAGTCAGGAATGCATGAGTTTCAGAGTCCCATTTAGGACCTGAGAGAAATAAAGATCAGGGCAACGAATCCTGAGTAAGCTATCCTCAAACCAAATAAACATGTGCTTCATTTGGAGATTATGCCAAGCTATAAATGTCACACACTTTCAATCCCAGTTAATTTATAGTTCTTTCTTTTTTTTAGATGGAGTCTCGCTCTATAGCACAGGCTGGAGGGCAGTGGCACAATCTCAGCTCACTGCAACCTCTGCCTCCCAGGTTCAAGTGATTCTCCTGCCTCAGCCTCCCGAGCAGCTGGGACTACAGGTGCCCACCACCACGACCGGCTAATTTTTTGTACTTTAGTAGAGACAGGGTTTCACCCTGTTGCGCTGGTGATTTCTAATGTCATTTTTTCAGGTAAGTGGGATAAGCCCAGAGTATCTTTCAAAATTCATTGTCCCAACTGTCAACCCTTTACCTGTTCCTCTAGACTTTCACTGATATGTTTCAAGTAGCAGAGGGCAGAACCCATCCATCACTCTCCATGGTCAACAGTTACAGTATGTGTCTCTTTTATTTTCCTGAAAAATGTTAGATCATGCCAGAAGTATGGCTTTAAAAGTGTGTTAAACTGTATTGATAAAACCATAAACTAGTTGCAAGAAGGAGGCACTCTAATGAAAATGCCAAGTTCATGTGACAGTCTACAAGCAGGACAGTTTTCAAACCCCGTTATGACTCTCCATCGCCCTATTCCAAAACAAGGACTGGAATTGGTCATTATTCTGATTTGGAAATAGGTATCAGAGAATAGGAGGGCTTCTCTACCATAGGGCTGCAGTGGCTCTTGTGTAAGCTTCCATCCCGGGCCATCTCTCACTTCCTCCTCACCCACCCACTGGGGTCCCCTTCACACATTCCCTTCTTCCCCCATTAATAGACACTTTCATGCCCCTTTACACTCTGTCTTTAGAGATTTGCTATATTCTAAGGTATAATCAAGAATAACTCGAATTCCACTGGTATAAATGTAGCTTCTGCACTGTAGTTGCAATGCTGCAAGAAGCAGAGGTTTCTCTCCCTTAAAGATATGTATGGTTTGAAATGAATAAAAGATAAGGAGGCTATGGACATAGCACGGGGTTCAGAAGATTAGTATGCATGCAGTTGTTTATTCCCTCCAAGGCTAAACAGCTAAAGTCCTTTCCTTCCAAACAAAGGTCTTTTAGGACATTTTTATTTATTCAGTGTTCAGAATTTAAACTCATGCCGCCTTTAAATGGCCCAGCTTGCAACTTCAGCTCCATTTAACCTTTCTCCCCTTCCTCACATTTCCAAAAGAAGCAATTTAAAAATAATAAACTGACCCTAAAGGGCTATAATCTATTTCATTAAATCATTCCTACAAACAATAGTTCTAAACATACAAGCTATATAGCATGTTTTGTTTAAGAAAATGAATATTACATATTTTGATTTTTTTCTTTCTTTTTTTTTTTTTTTTTTTGCCAAATAGGACTACCATGATGCATAGGTTCTAAAGCTAAAAATTTGAAACTTACTTGATGGAAAACATTAACATTCCAAGTTTTTGTCTAAGTTGAAGTACATTCAGATTTACAAGGCTATCAATTAACTAGTATAAGTAACATATTTTGGAATATCTTTTTGATAAATAAAGAGTCCTTTGTGGACAGAGGGAAATGTAATATAAACTACTTCGCCCAAACTGCCTCCCTTCTTTAAGCACTATCCTGGAGCGAATTCCTCTCTCTTCACCTTCACCCTTGGATTTGTTCTTCCTCCTACAGCCCCAGACTTAGCCGTGCTGGTCAGAACTGTGGGCAATATTAGCACTGTCTCTCTCCATGCCACTTAAGAAGCCTCATCTATTCTAACTCCGAAATCTCCTTCCAGTCCAGCCATGTCAGCACATCGCCATTGCCATTCTCGCCATGATTTCTCATGTGGATCACAGCACAGCCCTCTCCCTTATTTTCCCGATCCCTGTTTTGCTGGCTTTGATCCATTCTTCCTAGCGTCTGCAGAACGGCCGTGTGAAACTGCTAAACTGAATCTGTCCTAATGCCTGAAACTTCTCACTGTCTGCTATTGCTATTACTCTTCAGATAAAGTTTCCAGGCCTAAACAGTATTCAAGGGCCTACAAGTCCTGATCATTTGTCTGTGCCTCCATCGGCTTTATTCTGCAGGACATTGATTTTTTTTTTCTCCAGTTCTTTGAATATAAACTCATTCTTGAATGTACCTCTTTCACTCAGTAAATACTTCCAAAATATCCATTGTGGTCGGGCATGTCCACAATGTGTCCAGCATGCCTGTAATCCTGGCAATTTGGGAGGCCAAGGCAGGTGGATCGCTTGAGCTCAGGAGTTCAGGACTGGCCTGGGCAACATGGTGGAACCCCAACTCTACTAAAAAAAATACAAAAATTAGCCGGGCATGGTGGTGTGTACCTATAGCCCCAGCTACTTGAGAGGCTGAGGTGGGAAGATCACCTGAGCCACAGAGGCAGAGGTTGCAGTGAGCTATTACCACCACGCACTTCAGGCTTGGTGACAGAGTAAGACTTTGCCTCAAACAAACAAATAAACAAACAAACAAAAAATACCTACTGTGTGGCAGGTTTTGTGCTAGATTATGAGAAACAGGGGTGAACACAGTCTTTCTGACCCTATGTATTCCCGTGGTAATGGGACTTCCCCTAGCATAGCATGCCACAATCTGTATTATAATTGATATGATTTGTCCATATCACCACTAGAATCTAAGCTGTATGATGGAGAGGGATGGGCTATGTTTATTCCATTCATTCTTGTGTTCTCAGAAAACCTGGCACATAGTAGGAGTTCCAGAAATTTTTGTTGAGTAAATTACCATGTTATTTATAACATAAATTTACCAGTTGCCTTTTAAAGAAGGGTAATAGTGTTAGATCTAAAAAGGATAATTTCCTGTGTACCTCCCTCCAGCAGAGTCAATTTCCAACAACATATAATAACACTTTCTCTGGAATTTTTCAGTCTTTGCAATTGTCTTAGTTTGAGTTCCCTCAAAAGAAGACCCTGAGACAAAGACTTAGATGAAGTTAGTTCATCCGGGATGATTCCAAGAAGAACACGCGAGATGGCAGGAAAGGCGACTGAGAAGGGAGAAACCCACTAAGACGAGTTTTAACAAGTTGGGTAATCAGTGTAGGCAAATGGGGCTCAGAGTATTTTCTGAGGACTATAGGACATTCTTAAAATTGTGCCAGTGAGCAACTGAGATACCCGATTATTTATTCACTGAATCCTGTCCCGTATTGATTAAGGGATGCCCTTGGCAGCATTAAATTTTTGTCACTTCTAGGCTACTATTCCCGAGAACTGAGTAAAACTACCACGGCATTGCAGAAGTCCAGGAAAGGAGCCGGGAGATGGAGGTATTTGACGTGGAAGTTGTCTGTGTATCTGGGAACTGTCCAAGAAGACTGCAGGTAAACTCAGCTGGACCAAGGGAAACGCTGCAGGCATCCTTATCAACTGCCACACACACCTTCAATATGACATTAAATAAACAAAAAACAAAAAACCTAGCATCCTGAGCGCCTACCACTTTTGTTTCTAGTATTCAGTTAATAGCAGGTTGGAATAATGCAGAACAATGAGCGATTTCTAAGAAATCAGGATTGTCTGAGGACCAGATCTAGCCTGGTAATGACTAAAACAGCCATGGGTAGGAAAAGATCATTTAAATATTTCAGAATGGTCAAGAAAACTAAAGAAAGACTGTGAGCATCTACACACATTTACAAGCTGTCAATAACCTGAAGAATACGCCAAAGGCCCAGATGCTACTTCTGGCAAGGCAATGATAACTCCACTCTCTTCCAAGAAAGAGAAGAACTTCTAGTAAACCATGAGGAGGGGAGGAAAACACGTGTTCCCACTCCATATACTTACCTGTCTTCCCTAGCTCTAATTAATTCACAAAAAGTACCTTTTTATAAAAGAGGCTTAATCATAAATTTCCTTGAAGAAAAAAATATATATGCATATAAAATTTGAGGACCATTTTCTCCTTATATGAAGGTAATAAGTGCTTATATAATTATCATAAATGAAAAGGAATAATAATCTGCTTACACAGAAACACTCTTTTTTTTTTTTTTTTTTTTAGACAGGGTCTCACTCTGTCTGCCAGGCTGGAAGCAGTGATGCTATCTCGGCTCACTGCAGCCTTGAGCTCCCCAGGCTCAACTGTTCCTCCCGCCTCAGCCTCCAAAGTAACTGGGACTACAGGCACACACCATCACATCCAGCTAATTTTTATTTTTTGTAGAGACAGGATTTCGCCATCTTGCCCAGGCTGGTCTCTAACTCCTGATGCACCCACCTGGAGCTCCCCAAATATTGGGATTACAGGCACAAGCCACCGCACCCAGTCTAAAAATATTCTTCTACATGAAACAATGTGATGTGAGTAGAAATGTAAGGTGTTTGTCTGTAAAACTGAAGAATAAAAATACTCACAAACACAAAACGGGAGCATATGTTTTAGCACATGTTTTTTCTCTTCAGACGCTTCTGAAAGTCCACCAAAGTTATGGCAAAATGATAAATAGATAAATAAAAGTCCACAAAGAGAATGCAAAAATGAGTTGACAAAAGCCAAGAGATGTAGAGTTGTTGTTTTCTTTAAAAAATATGAAATGAGAGATAACAGATAGTAAGGAAGAAGAACTGAAACAGAAGAGCCTGCTGAGTAGTGGTCAGAATGTGTTGACTGTTGCCAGGGAACTCAATAACGGATTCTGGAGTGGAGATACCCACAGCCCTAAACAAAGGGGCAAGGCTTGGGGCTAAAAACAGGAGGACCTGTTGAAAGCCCATAAATGGAGCAGCTGAACCTCCATAGCCCTTCCTGACCTCACAGTGCCTCCTTCCCTGCACCCACATGGAATGGGGACACAGGACATTTCACTATCTCTAACACTTTCTTTTAAGTATATCTGAATTATTTTCTTTATTCTTAGAACGTTTTCTGCAGGCAGGCAGGATAAAACAGCTTCACTTTTAACTCATTCCAAATTTTAACTTCAGGATTGAGGTATCTTAAAATCAAGCTGCCCCGGCTGTCACATCAAGATTCTGACACTTAATAGCTATGGAGCTCTGAGACTGCTTTCTCATTTTTACAATGCAAATAATGTTATGAGAAACTTGCAGGGTTTGTTGAGAGGCATAAAGAAGAAAATCCATGTACAACCATTTACCCCGGTGCCCGCTGAACTACCCTGACAGGGAACGGGGTGAGAAGGCCATCAGTTTGCAGCCATCAAGGTAATAGTTGACACAGGTGAGATTCATCAACGGATGGGACAAATCATAGTAAGAAAAATGGTTGGGAAACTGAGTATTTGTAGTGTCAGAGTGTCACTTCTTGATTGCTCATAAACTGTTAAAATGAAAAATATGGAATAAAAAGGTGATAGCATAAAAAATACGGAGGACACCACTCTGGTCATGGAGTCAAATTTTAAATGACAAATAATGGGACTGATGATTAGTATCTCCTGCTGTGATATACTGAAAAGGAATAATATTATCTATAAATATTCTTACCCAAAATTTACCAGCCGAATTTAATCAGGAAGAAATAAGTAAGAAATAACATTCAAATAATATTCTTATTTGAATAATATTTATCATTTTAAATATCTCTTAAATATTTATTATTTTAAATATCTCTTTAAATATTTATTATTTTAAATAATAAAATAGTGGGTATGAATTCTTTAAAAATGTTAATTTTACCAAACAACACTTTAAGATATATGGAGAAGCCTTTCTAGATTACAGGATGATAAAGAAACCTCACAAGTAAATGTGATGTATTAGATTCTACACTAATAAAGATATTAACAAAAACAAAACCAGAACACATCATTGGATCAACTGGGGAAATCTGAGTATGAACTGAATGTTAGATATGTTAGTGTATTAATGCCGAGTTTCTTGAGTATGATGATGCTCTTATGCTTATATAAGAAAATGTCCTTTTTCTTAGGGTATATATGTTGCATTTGGAATGAAGTGGCAATGTCACAAACTTAATGCTTAATGTTTAGATAGTTCTGCAAAAAAAAAAAAAAAAAAAGGTTGATATGCACATAGACAGAGAATGTACAGACAATATCTGGTTTAATGTGTTCCCTGACTGAATATGTTCACAGTTGGGGAATATGCTGAATGCTAATTTAGCAAGAGGCAAGAGGAAGCTGCTTGGATTACAGGACATGACGACTGGGACTGGGGCAGACAAGAAGAGTGAGCTCCTTTCAGGACAATCCGGAGAACTGTGACAGCAATGTTAAGGCTTCTCTTCCCTCCCTGGAGGTGAGGCTTAAGGATCAAAATAAAATCTGCATCTGCACAGAATTATACATTATGCAAAGACATACAGAAGGCCTCACAAAGTATCCAATCTATAACAGATACATATATGTGGTATACGATACAATATAAGAACCCAACCTAGGAGTGTATAGATTGATGTGGATGACCTACAAAATCTTCTAATTTTCTTCTATTAGCCTCCAACTCATGCAGTTAAGATATTCCCTCCATATTTGCAGAAAACATGATCCTTTGAGGAAAAGATATTGAAAGACAACCATAGTTTCCAAATCCATTTCCATCTCAATCTCTATCTGGTGGCAAAGCTGGCAAGACAAGCTATAGTTTAAAATAGAAAGGTGAAAACTAGAAGAATTAGCACATTTCTATAAAACAAATTGGTAGGCTTTCCTTTGAAGTGCTCAGTAACTTAGTCCTATATTGTTTTTATTTCTGCATAACAAATTAACCTAAAACTTAGCCACTGAAACAACTATTTTACTATCTGACAATTTTGAGGGTCATGGATTCAGACCCAGTCACAGCCTGAAGGGCTTGGCTGGGCAGTTCTTGCCTGGGCTTCTCATGAGGATGAAGTAAGATAGCAGCTGGATGTCCAAGATGGCTCACACCCCTGACTGAGAGTTGATGCTGGCTGTTGCCTGGGAGCTCAACAGGATAGTTGGCCAAAGAGTCTATATATCTCCTGTCCTGCATGGTGGTCTTGGAGTGGTATAACATTTTACATAGTAGCTGGTTTCCTTCAAGGAACGTAACTCATGAGAACCAAGGAGAGTATGGCCTTCATTGATCTCATGTGGAATTTCACAGCCCTACTTCTGTTTGATTCTATTAGTAAAAAACACATCAGTGGCCAGGTGTGGTGGCTCACACCTGTAATCCTAGCACTTTGGGAGGTTGAGGTGGGTGGATCACCAGGTCAGGCATTCAAGACCAGCCTGGGCATGATGGTAAAACCCTGCTCTACTAAAAAGAAAAAAAAAATAGCCAGGCACAGTGGCAGGTGCCTGTAATCTCTCCTGCTGAGGCAGGAGAATCACTTGAACCCGGTGGGCAGAGGTTGCAGTCAGCAGAGATCACACCTCTGCACTCCAGCCTGGGTGACAGATTAAGACTCCATCTCAAAAAAAAAAAGAGCATATCACTAAGGTTGGCCCACATTCAAGGGGATGGAATATAGACTCCTCCTCTCAAAGGGAGGAGGCTTAGAAAATTTATGATATGTCTTATAACCACTATGTTTTAACTGGCATTTCAAACACTTAATTAGAACGCTGAAAAAGAAGGTCTTTCCTGGATGAATCAGAAAAGATGAAAGGCCAAATTAATTTCATATATTCAGATAACAAGGTAAAGTTAAGTTCTGAGACTGTTTCCAAAAGAAATATTAAATGACCAGATATTGGACAGATGGATGGTGGATGGAAAATGCATGGAGGAAAGGCGGGGGATAGGGATGGGTAAGTAATTGGATATAGACAGACAGAAATGGGAGAATAGCTATTCGGATGAATTCAAAGCATAGTATGTGGTGACTCCCAAACTATGACCAGAGTTGGAAACAACTTTTATAGAGTGCTTATACTAAAACCACAGTTCATTCAGAAACAATTGCCAGAGAGGGTGAAACCAGGGCAGAGTGGGTTCTGAGATGAAGACTGCTTGATAGGCACGAGGAAGCTCGGAAGATTTGCAAAGGTGAAACTTCACTGGATCCACACAGGAATCCATCTGTCTTGGCCAGCTGCTCGGTCCTGCTACAGAGTCAGTGGCATGGTGTCTGCTCACGGCAGGACACAAATCATCCTCTGAAAATGGGAATCAAAACATTTGGCAGAGGAGAACAACTAAATGCTTTATTCCATCTTACAAATTTGCAATCACATTACACATTATTCTTTAGTTTTCTCAATTAAGGAAATGACGCGGATACAGAACCAGACTGAGATAACTACTAAGATAATGGGAGGTACTATGAGAGGTATTATTTAAAAATCTAAAGGCAACAACTGGGCTAGTCTTCCAGTTATAACATATGGCTTGGAGACATGATCCCTCATCAAGGAAATGGAATCGAAGTTGTCATCATGGACAGATTGTTAGGGAAATAATGATGGCGACAGGCATATGATGAGATAAGAGCAGCCAGTACCGCTACATTTGGAGTGCGCCAAAGGCTGTGGTAGCATTTGCTTTGCTCCATGGATTGGTTCCATCTGTCTAGTACTGCTGAGAATATTTTGACAGTGGAAATTTGTGAGATGAAGCAACCTCCACCACGTACTGACATTTATGAGTCAGAATATCCATGATGGAAGAAGGAAGAATCTGAGACAGTGGTTTGAGGTAACTGAAACTGAAATATAGCGAGGGCCACACTAATGGCTTTAAGTAGACCTTGGGTGGTGGAGACTTTGATATCAATCACTGGGGTTTAAAATTGGGGCAGGTGATTTCTCCTTGGTTTTGATTCAACAGCAAGCTGTCAAGAGGGCTGACAGGTGAGATAATTGTTAGCTCTCTGGCTGGCTAATTAAAGGACATGGGAAGTCATAGGGACATTCATTTTGTTCACTCACCAGAATCTCCTTTGGAAAAGGGGATTCCTTTGGAATCCTAAAAGAGATCAATTCACTGCTTGACATGCACCCAAGTGAGTATGAAAAATATGCCTTCAGGCTGAGTGATATATGAGTCAGATGTCACACGTCACATGGTAAAATAGTGACATTACCTTTTAATTGCTCTGGGAGATAGAAGAGTCATCTAAAGCTTGAGTGCAGAAACCTCCAAAGAGCTGGCATCAAAAGGAATCGTGTTTCAAAACATGAGGGAGCAGAAGGGAAGATCAAAAGCTCCTCTGTCTCCCTCACCTTTGCATTGATGTGCTTTGAGTGTCCATTTCAATGTCTGTAACACTTTCTTTTAAGTGAACCTGAATTATTTTCTTTATTCTTAGGAGGTTTTCTGCAGGCATGGTGGATAGAACAACCTCATTTTTAACCCATTCCAAATTTTAACTTCAGTATTGAGATATCTTGAAATCAAACTGCCCTGGCTGTCACATCAAGATTCTAACACTTAATAGCTATGGAGCTCTGAGACTGTTTTCTTATCCTTACGATGCAAATAATATGAGAAACGTGCTGAGGTTGGTGAGAGGAATAAAGGAGAAAATCCATATGCAACCATTTAGCACAGTGCCTGCAGAAGTACAAGAAGTGTTAGCTATCATGTGAAGTCATGGTCAGAGTCTCTTATTTTTTGAGATGGATTTTCACTCTTGTTGCCGAGGCTGGAGTACAATGGTGCCATCTCGGCTCACTGCAACCTCTACCTCCCAGGTTCAAGCAATTCTCCTGCCTCAGCCTCCCAGGTAGCTGGGATTACAGACATGCACCATCATGCCCAGCTGATTTTGTAGTTTTAGTAGAGACGGGGTTTCACCATATTGGTCAGGCTGGTCTCAAACTCTTGACGTCAGGTGATCCACCTGTCTCAGCCTCCCAAAGTGCTGAGATTACAGGCATGAGCCATCATGCCCAGGCGTCTCTTCCTTCCATTAGGAATTCTGTTCAATTACAGGTAAAAATGTGGTCCAAGGCTAGATGGAGATAATGTAAACATGTCATATTCTGCCCAGTTCACATCATGATGCTCCCTGTCTTACAGTCTGCCACCTTCTCATAACCTTCAAGTGGAAGGCATTCTTCTGCCATAGACTTGATTTCTGGTCTATACTTCCAGGTATATTTTTTCTTGAAAATATGGCAAATCTAGGGATTGATTAAATAGAGGGTTAAAAAATGGGAAATGAATCTCCAAGCTGAGTGGTAAACTCTTTAATCCTTGAGTCCAAAGCACTGTCCTCTGGTCACAAACATTTCAGAAAAAGAGAATGAAACAAGATTTATTTCCACTACTGCATCTGGCAAAGGAGAAGACAAAAAGAAAAATTAGAAATTTTTAAGGTGACTCTATGATTCCGAAGAGGCCCGTTTTTCATTCTCATAATGCAACAGACTCCCTGCAAGATTACTGAGTGTGCAGTTTTTGTTTTCTGTGGGCTGCCAACAGATGGCTTATTTTGAGTGGAGAGAAATATCATTAAGGAACAAAGAGAAATTAGGACTAAATAGGAAATTAAATATGTTCTTGGGATTACAACTGATGATCAAGAAGTTACAAACCAGTGATTTGCAGCTTAATATTTTGCCTGCAGCCAATACCCACTGTTTTAAGGAAACCTTCACATTAAAAAGGCTGTTCTCGCACCATGCAATTTATTTGTCTTTCTGTCTTGCCAGTGCCTTTGCCAAACATCATAATTTGCTCAGAATCCTGAATTGCAAGATGAACAAATAATATTCATTTCCTCCACTGAGAAACATCCTTTGATTGAATTGTCTACTTCCATCCCCGTCACGGCAATGTGTGCTACATGTCAGAGATGTGAAATGGAGTTGAGCCTACTTGAAAGCAGAGTATAAATTAGCTTCTAAATGAAAACATTTAGAAGGGAAACATTTTCAAATGACAGCCAAACTCCATCAGCTCCTGAAGTACTTGTGGCCCCTCTGAGGAATGCGGCATGCAAATGAGGGCACACAAGCCCAGACTGTGACCCCACCACTGCTCAGCGGGTTCAAGAATTTCCCTGATGAACTGAAGGGCTGGAAGTCAGAGGGGAAAAACAAGATATACCTTCTCTAAAAATCAGCCATCATGGTTGACCTTTTCACTTCCAGAGAGCTGTTATTTTACTTAACAATAATTAAAATACAAAGACAATAGCAACTAAATAAAACACAGCTCTGCCGAAAATTACATTAGAAAGACCGGTGTGCATGCAGAAGTCAGCTAAGTTCTAGAAGAGCATGCTTGGACACCCAGAGCGTGTCAAACCCTCCAGCACTGTGCGGATGTCATTGTGACCAAATTCACAGTGAGATGCTTGGACACAAGTCAGACTCTCCTCG